CGTCTCCAGGAGGGGCGCAATCAAGTTGGGTTTTTAAGGTTTTGTTTCTCATTCTCCCCTTCCTATATATGCACAGCCTCCGCACGAAAGAAAGAAGAAAAGCGAGTTCCTGGTCCTTGATTCCGAAACAAAGAGCCTAATTTTTCATCGCTGCTCACTGGATTGCGATTTTATATTGGTCGTTGCTAAAATCCATGTAGGGCATTTCTTAAAAATCATAATCAGGCCTCTGAAAGAAACAGTGGGACTTTGGGGGAACACACGACGGTTTCAGTGGCTCTCTGTGAGAAGAGAGGGTGGCGTTCCGTCCGAACACTGCGGTCCCTTAGCTCGGTCACCATCCTCAGCAACCTGTCCTGTTTGGATCACGCTGATGTCCTCTATATTTTCTGTGTTTCTGATTTTTTTGTGTAGTAAACTCTAGCCAAAATTCCAGGTCGGCAGTTTTGAGAATTTATGAGACCCAAGAAGTTTGCGTTACAGAACATACTGAATAGTTCTGTCCTCCACGAGGCTACTCTCTCTCTGCTGCTCCGGTTTTTCCTTCACTTGAAAAGGAAAGAGGAACATCGGTCCCACTGCAGAAACACTGACATCCCTGGGGGCAGGCGACTTGCAAAACGGTTGTCATTCCCCTTATTTTCTGCAATCAGGTGCCTTGTCTGTGGTCAGAACTGGCAGGTGCACAGGGTCATTCGTCATGCACCTGACCTTGACCTCAAGCCGTCCCGCTCACCTTGCTGAGCCGAGATCTGCCAGAAATGCAGGTTCCCATGAACTCCAGCCACCAGTGAGGTCAGGGTCCTTCTGCGAGTCCCTCTGGGCTGATTGGATGCCCATCAAGGCCACTGCAAGCCTGTGACGGGAACTGGGTCAGAGCTGGTCACCTTCCTCTGGCTTTCTCTCTCTCTGAGGCACTGGTTTTTTATCGAGTGGAGCTCTGTGTTTATTCTCAGGAATGGCTGTGTTTTAGACGTTCCTGTGCCTTTCTGTGGGGGACTCGCGCTTTCTTAGGACCTCACTATAATGGGTGTGCCCCTTCCAGGACACTCAGGATGGCCCCAGCTGGGAAACCAGTCTTTCCCTGTAGCCTTGTGGGCCTACCTGGGGGTCACCACTTTTCCGTGGCTTCTCTGCTTGTTTCAAATTAATAAGTGCTTTCTGTGGGCTTCCTCCAGCTACGTGCTACATGTTTTCAGGAGGTTTGGAGCAGCTACAGCAACGTCTCAGCTGAATCTGGTTGCCCAGCTCTTTCCATTCAATGCCATCCTGTGTCCTTCTGTCTGCTGTGCATCTGTGATACCTGGTCCCCGCCCCCTGCCCTCACCTCGGCTCGCCCTTGACCCCTCCAAACACATGGCAATGTGGTCCAGTGTCCCGATGCCACACATACTCTTTCTCCAGGGTCCGGCGTCACCCCGGAGCCCACCAAAAAAATACAAGTGCTGTGGCCTCTGGGGTCCCTGTGGCCTCTGGGGTCCCTGTGGCCTCATGACGGGTTCGGCCTGGGCCTTGCCTTTGCTGTCATTCCTGTCTCAGCCTCGGCACAGGGTCAGTGGTGTGTTGGGTGCTGGCTAAGCATCATGTGAGATGTTGCTTAGCATCTAATTATTCTGAGAATGTCCTTGGAGAATCAGAGAAGATGGGATACCACCACCAACAGCAAAAAAACAGAAGAAAAGGTTCAGAAATATCAATTACCTTTAATGCTCACAACAAGGCGGCCTTTATGCTTTCAGAATTAGAAGGTGCAGATCGATCTCTGCCCTGTGTATGCAGCCTCTGTTCCTGGTGGTGCTTGGACGCCGGGAGTAAGAAGACACGACTACAGTGAGCCCAGTGGGTGGTTCCTGGGGGAACGGCGGGCGAGTGGCTGAGGGCCGGGTGGCCCGAGCTCCTCGGAGACCCTGGCCCTGGGATCAGCACCTGGGGCGACGGACAGCGTTTCTGGTGCCCACTTCCCCAGCGACTGCACTGGTCTGGGCTCTAGAGCGACAGCAGTCTGTCCCCTTAGCCAGGGCCCGGAGTGTGTGGCCCCGGAAGCTCTTATCTTCATTTCAAAACAACAGTGTAAATTCTGAGCCTGTGTGTAATGATGATGATGATACTTTGTATCTTCATAATGATACTTTGTGGTCTATGGAGTGCCTTCATAGTATCAGCACAGGAGTAATCTGTGTCCATCATTCTGTTCACCTTTGCGGTGGGCGCCCTTAACCTGGGTGTAACCAGACAACTCGCATTTGGGAACTGGAGTCACCAGCGGGCAAGTGTCAGCGTCGAGAGCTCACCCCGAAGTCTGACTCCAAGCCTGGGCTCTGGGACGGAGAGAATTTTATAGGTTGCTGGGAAATAAAATGCTGTCATTACTATTAGAAAAAAAATAAAATAAAAGAAAGAAAGAAACAACTAAAAAGAAATGCTATTCCCTTTAGTTGCACCAAACTAAGGAAATTCTCCAGATTTTGAAAGTGGCATGCATTCAGCTAAGTGACATTTTGTTAAAAGTGATCTGCAGACTGTCTGTCACAGATCTCACTTTATTTGGAATGAAACACTGGGCACACGCTAGACGTCAGCAGGAAATTGCCTTCACCCATAAGACGTATAAACGGACACGTCTGTGAGAATTCCGCCGCTGTCCTCGCTGGGTCAGAAATGCCAGAATTCCACTTTGGATGGATGGACAACCTCTGAAAAACAGCTTGCTGTTAAGACCCTCAAGGGGCTGAACTCCACAGCTCAAGACCAAGTTGTTGACGAGACAACAGAAAGTGAGCTTCCTCTGGTCCTTGGAATTGGGGTTCACTCGGGAAATAACCTCTGGGCACAGCGGGAGGTTGCAGATCTTTCTGTACGACCCCGGGGCGAGACTCGTCTTTGGGTGGGGTTCTGTGCGTAGAATGTCACCTCTGCACCTGTCCTGCCAGGAACGGCCATCGCACTCACCGATCACCCCAGTGAGAACTGGAAGGCGCTGGGCCCGGGCACAGCCCAGCGAGGGGCAGACACCAAGGTGTGTGACAACGAACGATCGTCCACACGAAGTCTCAGAGAAGGCGCGAGGGACAAGGTCCAGGGGACGCTGTGCATAGACATCGTAATGGCCTTGGACTGCCCTCGGCAGATGAGGTGACCAGCTGCCAGCGCCCGCCGGCATTCACCCCCTCCACGGGTGCCTTTGCAAAGCCGGCGGGTATTAATTACGTCAAGCGCATGTCTGAAATCATGTCTTGCATCTCTGTATTTCGGTGCAGAGCATTGTGTGCTCTGAATACGTACCCAGAGGACCGAGTACCGGACTTGAGCAGAAGCTGCCCTCGCCCCACAGCTACACTTATGTCCATGAGAATTATTCCATCTTGTTTCCATCACATCAGAAGTGTTCGGATTCTGTTGTCGACAGACGGGCCCCTTCTGGTCTGTACCTGTTTAAACGTATGTGTGTACGTCAGAGGATCGACGCTGTGGAACGTAATTGAGCAGGAGACCAGTTTGGGATCTCGGATTGTCCGAGTTGCATTTGTACCAGCGCTGCATTCTCTTGTACGTCTCCTGTAATTTCCCATTGCACATATTAAAGGTTTTTGATAAAGAAAAAAGAACAAAAATGCGTAAACTAGGACCCAGAGCGCCAGGGCTCTTGTAGGGCACAGGGTGGCCTCGGGGCATCAGAGGTCCACTCTGGCTGGGTTTTGCTCCGAGTAACCGTGATGCCCCAGACAAGTCATTTTATCTGTTTGAGTCTCAGTTGCCCTGTCTGTAAAAGTATAAGTTTATATAAACTCTTCCACCAACTTTCCAGCTCTCGAATGTTCCCGTGGATCCCCGGGGAGTGGGTGGGAGCCGGCTCGGTGACCCACATTCAGAACGCACGGGGTGAATATCTTCACGCTCGCTCGGTCGCTGCGCCGCTTCTTGGACAAGTGCACCGAAGGGGGCAGGTCTGGTTGGGAGTGGAGCCTTCTGCCCCGCCCCAGACTTCAGTCCTCATCTAACCTGGCACGTCCCTTCTCCTTCTTTTTAAGGGGAGCCCAAGATGAATGCTGAGAGAGAGAACCTCACAGTTCCAGATTTTGCTGTCCATTTTTGGAAAGAGGGGAAGGGAGAGGGAGAGAGAAACAGCCATGTGAGAGGGAACATCGACTAGCCGCCTCCTGCACGCCCCCTCCTGGGAATCGAGCCCACAACCTGGGCACGTGCCCTGACCGGGGATCGAACTGGCGACCTGTCAGTGTACCGGACGACACCCAACCCACAGAGTCCCACCAGCCCTGAGGATCCCTTTTGCCTCACACTGGATCTAGGTCTGGGGCGGGGCTGGCACACTGGAGAGAGACCTGCCTGCAGTGAATGCTGCCCAGCTCTGGTTTTAGGAGCCACATGCCTTTCCCATCTGAGCGCACGTGCCCGGACCTCTGGGACCAGCTTCCCATCCAGGTGTCCTCCCTGGACCCCGCCGTGTCTCAGCCCCGTGGGCCTGCCATCCGGCAGACACTCTCTGAGATTCTAGATGCCAGGGTGGCAGGCGAGCCGATGGCCTCAGCCACGCCGCTTGCCTTCCGGAACAGGCGTCGCCGGCGGGGCTGGTAGATGGGGAGGTTTTGGAGACCGAGGTGGGCGATGGCTGGATGCCAAGGCGTCAGCACTGCGATGACCTTTGTGATTGTGAAGATGCCACTCGATGCTTTGTTCCGACATGAAATGAGTAGAACGTGGGCGCCCCCCTCGTCCCCCTGATAAAACGCGTCAGTGAGATTAGACCGTCTCCGCCTTCGGGCTCACCTTCTGGAATGATCATCGAGACATTTGATTCTGACCGGTTTCCCACGGTTTCTCTTGAACTCCCAAGTCCCTGAAAACTGAAAATGTCCAACCCTGGGCACTCTATTAGAAATACAGGTATCTGGCCGTTGTTTATGTATTTGAGGTAAATAGTAGGAAAAGCACGTGTCGTGAGACCTGGGAAGTGACCCTGCGTCTGTTTCCTTGCTCCTCAGCTGTGTCCTGCGGGATCCCCGAGGCCCCGGGAAACGGCTCCTTCTCGGGGAACGAGTTCACGCTGGGCGGCGAGGTGACGTACGAGTGTGACGAGGGCTTCCGGCTCGGCGCCGGCCAGCACGCCACGGCCGTGTGCCGGGAAGACGGGTCCTGGAGCCACGGAGGGACGCCGCCCACCTGCCAGCGTGAGTGAGGGAGCCTGGGCCCTGCGTGCGGATTTTATCAGGGACGGTTCCCCCGGGGGTGCCCAGTTCTGCGTGCGGAGCCCCTGACCTCAGGTGCCCGGTGGTGCCCAGTTCTGAGTGCGGAGCCCCTGACCTCGGGTGCGGCCCTCTGTGCGGATTTTATCGGGGACGGTTCCCCCGGGGGTGCCCAGTTCTGAGTGCGGAGCCCCTGACCTCGGGTGCGGCCCTGCGGCCCTGTGTGCGGATTTTATTGGGGACGGTTCCCCCGGGGGTGCCCAGTTCTGGAGTGCGGAGCCCCTGACCCTCGAGTGTGGCACCTGGGGCCCTGTGTGCGGATTTTATCGGGGATGGTTCCCCTGGGGGTGCCCAGTTCTGGAGTGTGGAGCCCCTGACCCTCGGGTGTGGCACCTGGGGCCCTGTGTGCGGATTTTATCGGGGACGGTTCCCCTGGGGGTGCCCAGTTCTGGAGTGCAGAGCCCCTGACCCTCGGGTGTGGCACCTGGGGCCACATGGTGGTATCACAGCCTGTTCACCCCACACAGAACCCTGTGGCCAATTGCACGGAGCCACGCACCCGGAGCTGGGTCGGGGGTCCTGCTGGCTGCCTGGGGCCAGGCCCCGAGCATCGTCCACAGAGCTGAGCACGCTGTGCTTCCCAGGGTGGAGATGTGACATCTGGGGGACATGGGGACGTTGCCCTGGCAACAGCACTGTGACAGATCGTTAAACAGAACCCGCCCACCTCCTCTTTCCTCCCAGCTAACTGGCTTCTCTGGCATCAAAGGCAGGACCTAGAGTATTCACAGGTCGCCTGCTCCGTCCGCATAGCGCATTGAAACACCATGGAATAGTCACCCTGCTTTGTAAAGTGGGGTACCTTTGTTTTTGTTTTTTTATTCTCACCCGAGGACATTTTTGCATTTATCTTCAGATAGCGCGGGAGGGAGAGAGGGAGAGAGAGAGAAATATTGAGGTGAGAGAGACACATGGACTGACTGCCACCCACATGACCCCAACCGAGGCCCAGGACAAACTGCAACTGAGGTACTTGCCCTTAGCGGGAACCGAACCCGGGACTCTCTGGTCCGTGGGCCGACACTCTAACCTCTGAGCCAAACCGGCCAGGGCGGGGCACCTTTTCTATGTACAGGACAGCAAGTTTTCAGTGTCATTTCACTGTAATGCTGATAAGAAGGAAAAACAAAACAAAACAAACTACTGATCCCTGGCAGAGCCGCCGTCTGTGGAGTCGCACAGTCTCCCAGTCTCTGTGGTCTCTCCCGGGCTCTGGCCCCCACCCACACCCCACAGCTGTGCCCATTCGACGGCTTGGCGTGTCCACACTGCCCTGTCTGTGTGGCGTGGGTGGGGGCAGGGCCCTGCGGTGCTGTCATTCTGTGAGGGGGTCCCACCTGCGCCCCGAGGTGCCTCCAGGACAGGCTCCGGCTGGCTACCTGAGACCCAGAACTGGAGTCAGTGGGTTGAGAAATAATTACTGTATTTTATTTATGAATGTTCCTAGAATGCATGTATAGCTCACATTTACTCAATGGAAGTGTTTGGGATCTTTATTTAGAAATTTGATGATTTTTTGAGACCGTAAATCTACACCTAACTCTTGTTTCTATCAATGAGCCTGTGGGAAAGGTGGTTTCCTTCTGCAGCGTTTTGCTAAGTTGTAGTTTTCAAGCATCTGCCACCGTGTTACATGATGACCTACTGTGTATAATAACATCCCTACAGGGGTCAGAAAGGTGGGTGCATTCTAGAAGTCTGCTTTTAGATAATGACGATCAAGGTGATGATGCAAAGTCAGAGAGAACAAAGGCCCCCGCACACACATGCACACACACGTACATGCACACACTTATACCCATGCACACACGCACACTCACACCCATGCACACACACTCACACCCGTGCGCACACGCGTGCACACACTCACACGCACACATGTATGGAGGCAGGATTTACTCCAAGACTTTCACTGCAGCTCTCTCAACACTAACCTCGAATCGGAAATAATGTAACTACCTAGTTCCTTACAACTGAAAGCTACATGGTATTTGTACATATACATGATGTTCTTGCTCTTGAAATAGTAACACAAAGGACCCATGTCGTTTTCGATTGTCAGCTTCGTTTATCAGGATCTTTGGTATGGTAGTGTGGTCATGTTGAAAATATTTAAGCGTCTTAGATATGACTATGCAAATGTTTATAAGAACAGGTGACATCTCCCCATAGCTGTTCATTCCATTGCTATCGTTTTCGTGTATTTTGGGGGAACCAATAATTCTTGCCTTTCCTGAGAGTCAGCTATACACTATTAAGACAACTTCTATATTTCATAGTTATTTTCTATTTAATAAAGTATTGTTTTATTATAATTATGTAATAGCACAGGAAGCTAGGATAACAAAATACACTGGTACATTTTCGCAGATGGCAACATCACAAATATGTTTGGGTTGTTTATCATAAGATCACCTTCCTGGGCATGTAAGACATTGCGCACTTGGAAAACAGCTCAGAGGTCTGTGATAATAATGCCTGCCATTTTGTTTACTTTTTATTATTTTAATTCTTTAAATTTGTCTTTATTGTTGAAAGTATTACAGATGTCCCCCTTTTTCCCCCATTTACCCCCTCCCCCCTGCTCCTGTCCCCCCTTCACCGCACTGTTGTCTGTGTCCATTGGTTGTGCACATATGCATATCAGTTCTTTGGTTTATCTCCTCCCTCCCCACCCCCCACCATCTTTCAGTCTGTTCCCCCTTCCATGTCTCTGGATCTATTTTGTTTGTCGGTTTATTTTGTTCATTGTGTTCCACATTTAAGTGAGATCACGTGGTACTTGTCTTTCTCTGTCTGGCTTATTTCATTCAGCATAATGCTCTCCAGGTCCCTCCATGCCGTCTCAAAGGTAAGAGATCTTTCTTTCTTACTGCTGCATAGTACTCCATTGTGTACATGTACCACAGCTTTTTTATCCACTCATCTACTGATGGACACTTGGGCTGTTTCCAGATCTTAGCAATTGCAGATAGTGCTGCTGTGAACACAGGGGTACATATATTCTTTCTGATTGGTGTGTCAGGCTTCTTAGGGTATATTCCTAGAAGTGGGATCACTGGGTCAGACTGCTGTCATTGTACAGTGTGTCCTAGGTGCCTGATGCTTCAAACAGTTGATCTGCAAAGTTCACAGTGCCCGTGGGAGGCTGGACAGAGGCCCTCCAAGCGGAGTGAGAGCTCCTGATCTGCAGAAGTGGGGCTGGGCCCAACCTTCTGGTTCCGAGTCCCCCTCCTCCCCATCCCCGGCCATGGCTCTCACGGCCGCACTGGCGCTGCTGCAGAGCTCACAGACTCAGGCGCAGTCTGACTCCACTGGCTGTGGGTGCAAGGGCGGCCTTCGTGTGTGCTCAGTTCTCCGGGTTCCGTGGTTACAAGGGCAAGTCTGTGCTGGGCTTTAACGGGAAGCCTTTTAGAGCATGTACACTGCTTGAGAAAGACGTGATACATGACGAGGCGATTGAATAAATGTAAGCTTTAATCTCTTATCTTTTTTTTTTCTTTATTGATTTTAGAGAGAGAGGAAGGGAGAGGGAGATAGAAACATCAATTAGAGAGAACATTGATCACCGCCTCCTACATGCCCCCCACTGGGGTCAGGCCCACAACCTGGGCATGTGCCCTGACCAGGAATCAAACTGGTGACCTCCTGGTACATGGGTCAACGCTCAGCCACTGAGCCACACTGGCCAGGCTCATATCTTTTTTTAAGTAGATTTATCTTTCAGAGTAACTTGAGGTTCACAGTAAAATGTAGCAGAAAGTACAGGGGTCTTCCACCCCCCTGCCCCCCATGCACAGCTTCCCCATTACCAACATCCCCAACCAGAGGGCATGGTTGTCACACCCTGTGACCCTGCAGTGCACTCCCTCGCCCCTCGAAGCCTATGCTCTACGTTGAGCTTCTGTCCGGTGCTGTGCAGATGGCGTGTGGACACGTGTGATGGCCGGTGCCCGTGTTAGCCTCTGTGCGGAGTATCTTCACGGCCGCAGAGACCGCTGGGCTCTGCTTCCCATCCTGTTCTCGCCCCAGCCCCTGGCCACCACCGACCTTCTCACCGTCTCCTCCTCTGTCTTCTCCCAGATGCCGTGCAGCTGGACCACACCGTGTGCAGGCTTCTCGGGCTCTGTCTCTTAGTCACAGGAGCTCAGTGTCCCTCCTGTCTTCACGGCTCGATAGATCATTTCATTTTAGCCAAATAATCGTCCATTGTCTGACGGACCACAGTTTATTTACCCATCACCTGTTGTAGGATATCTTGCTCATCTCCAAGTTTGGGCAATTACGAAAGAAGCTGCTAAGAACATCTGTGTACAGGATTTTGTGTGGATCTAAGTTTTCAATCCATGTGGGTCAGTGCCAAGGAGCAGTTTCTGGATTGTATGGGAAGGATATATTTAGCTTTGTAAGAAACCACCCATCTGGCCCTGGCTGGTTTGGCTCAGCGGTTAGAGCGTCGGCCCCTGGACCAGAGTCCCGGGTTCGGTTCCTACTAAGGGCACCTACCTCAGTTGCAGTTTGTCCCTGGCCCCATTTGGGGTCATGTGGGTGGCAGCCAGTCCATGTGTCCCTCTCACGTCGATGTTTCTCTCTCTCTCTTCCTCCCTCTCTCCCTCCGGCTCTGTCTGAAGATAAATGCAAAAATGTCCTCGGGTGAGGATGAAGAAAAAAAAAGAAACCACCCACCTGTCTTCTGAGGTGGTGGCACCGCGTGCGTCCCCACCAGCACCGAGAGAGAGAGAGAGAGAGAGAGAGAGAGAGAGAGAGAGAGTTCCTGTAGCTCCAGGTCCTCACTGCATTCGGTCCTCACCGCATTCAGTATTGTCTGTGTTTTGGATTGTGGCCATTTTAATAGGCGCATCGAGGTCTCCTATTGTTGCTTAGTTTCCGTTTCCTTGGGGACCGAGGGTGCGGAGCATCTTCCC